GCAAATTATTATTCATTTAGCGTGCTCTGATTTCAGTTCTAACGGTAATCCAGAAAAAAGGGAGAGGGATTTCTGTTTTATCAGCATTGTTTAAGAACTAAGATCCCTTAATTATCACACTGTACCAATAGTCTGCTTCCCAACTTACTGAAGCAGTCATTCAGCTTTGAAACTAACAATTTACCCTCCAAGCAAAGAAAGATATAAGAAAAAGTGTTTAGTCAGCAAGCAAATACACCAAATTGTATGTTTTGGCTTTTGTTGGTGTTCATGTTTCTGAGCTGTGCAAATGTGAGTCACTTACACAATACCCTTCAATCAAAGGCATCAAAGCAAAGGAGACAGATTTCACAAGAAAATGAAAAAAAAAAAAAAAGGCAAAGGTGAAATAAAGCTTCATAAGATCCAGTTCTTTCAATCTCCTGAACCTCTTTCCAGGGTCTTCCTTTTTACTTAACATGGATAGACTCTTGATCTTACTGCTTGGTGTAATTTCTCATCATGGTGATGAAGAATTAGGTAAGATTCCTGATAACTTTGTGGAAGTATTATAGATTCTTTTACAAGGAAGTTACTACTGTGTTTCTTGATTCATAACAGTAATTGGCAATCCTCATAATTACTATTAAAGCTGGCCAAAAATGAAAAAAAAAAAATTGTTTCATGAAATACTTTTATGTCTTGGAATGAAAACTGTCTCTTTCAAGGAAATTATTAATTTCCTAAGAATCCAGAAGACTCCAGGACCTACAGCAGTAGTGGCAGAGTACTTGAAACAGGTTAAGGTTCTGTTCTATCTGAAAGGGTGGTCGGGCATTGCAATGGGCTGCCCAGAGAAGTGGTGGAGTGACCATCCCTGGAAATGTTTAAAAGACATGTAGATGTGACACTTGGGGACATGGTTTAGTCATGGGTTTGGTAGTGCTGGGTTAATGGTTGGACCTGATGATCTTAGAGGCCTTTTCCAACCCAAATGATTCTATGATTTGAAGATTCAGCCTCTTTAGCTGCTGGTACTTCTCTCCTGCATGTCTGAGCTGTCATGGAAATTTTATCAAAATAGTTATTTTCTTGGTAATATTTTTTTTTTTGCTGCATTTTCTTTTTTTTTTTTTTTTTTTTTTTTGGTAGGAAAAACTTTTCCTGCAAAATTTTCTCACGAAACCTATTTCTTGCATTAAAAAAAAAAAAAATAAAAAAAATCCGACAGTAGCCATATTACCAAAAGCACAAAACATTACTCCACTTTTTCCATAAAATAAGAACATGTAATCTGTGTGGATATGTTGGCAGTTATTGTTTGGACTCCTTGGAAAGTAAATTTAGTGTGCTTAGACTGGATATGTTTGTTGTGAGGTTTTATTGCAAAAAGATAAATGTTCTCCTGCACTACTTTTTTTTTACAGTAGGTGTTTTCCTACTGATGTCAGTGGGACTAATCATGTAAATTAAAATGGCTTTATGGGAATAAGGGTTGTGCATCCTGCCCTGCTTTATGCCAGCCAGAACTGAGGAGCAGCCACCTCTGAGAGAGGGAGAGCAGCAGCTGCCCAGCAACTCTCAGAAATGGTGTGCAATCCTTTAAGTTGAGCTTAAACAAAGGTGCTGGACTTCTTTGGAAAAATTACCCAGACGTAAAACCTAATTTGCTGTGTTCTGATTTTATCTTTCTAACCGAAGTGGCATTTTGGTAAGGTGAATAGGAGAACCCACATTATGTTTGGTTGGTTGGGTTGGGTTTTTTGGAGGGAGACAAATGGGCTTGACATAACTGGTTTTCTCTGCACATCCCATCGTATTTAATCTTTCGACACAGCTGCTTGCTTACAGTACAGTTTGGAATACTATCCCCTGAAAAACTGGCCCTATTTGTTTCTCGCAATCTGGCAGAAAACTATCATATTTATGAGGGGTTTTTTTCATGCAGACTCTTAGAGTGCTTAATAGGGGTGGCAAATATTGTAATAGAAATGGAAAGTATTCCCAGTTCTTAGCAAGATAAGGAAATGTTGTTTCTTATCTGTGATTTGAAAAGAGATGAAGGGTCAGTGAGGTAGAGATACATGAAAGCTATTGCACACTTGGTAGAAGCTGCAAAGGACGAATATCTCTCACCAGCAGCTTGTTTGAGTGGAAGGGAAGAGAAAGAGGCAGCTCCTAAGTAAAGAGAGAGGATTAGAAAAAATGTCAAGTAAAATCAGAGAAATTTGTTGGTTTGTTTGCTTAAAGAAACAGGTACACAGCTTTGAGATGGTTAGTGAAAAGAAAAGAGCAAGTCAAGTTGAGGGCAGCTTTAAATGCTTGCCTGTTGTTGACACTTTGGGATTTATAAAAATTCATAGGTCTTTGGAGATAGCTGAGAGAAGCAAGGAGAATGGGACAGGCTCTAAGACACCTCTGATTTTGAGGGATTGCATGGAAGTACAGGTCAGTCTGCTGGTCCCCAGATGTAGCTTGGCCAGGGCTTGCCTTTTCTTCCCAGCTGCCTCAGTGTAGCTGTGTCAGAGAGGCAGGCAGTTGTGCTGAAAATGGAAGGGGGAAAGTTTTAGGCTACGCCTATCCCATCAAGAGCAGCTCCTTGGAAGCTGTTTTTTCCTCAGCAGTGCATTCAGGAGCTATGAAAATGGGCAAAGTTTGATTTCAAGATGCAGAATACGTGTGCCAAACTTGGTGGTGGGGGCTGGTTGGGTCAGCAGAATTAAAAAAATTCTTCTCCTCGTCATCCTCAGCAGACTTGCAGCTGATTGTCATCTAAAGTAAGCTACAGGAGCTGCTGGCATTTGGGTTGGAAAAGGAGCTGATGCCCCAATATCTACCTGCCTCTGCCTTCTTCTGTAGAAAGCAGAAGAGAGCTGTCCTAAGCACCTTTTTGTTGTAGTATTACAATAGCAGTGGATTTGATCATTGTGGCGAGCTATTTTTTTCTTAACACATCAGCTTGTCTTGCGTTTATTTGCACACCATTCACCAATAAGCAAGAGGTGCATGTCCTGTACTGAGAGGAGTAACAGCCTCTCGTGGGCCTGGGGACCTGGGCTATGAACTTAGGTCCTAAAAAATTCCTTAGTGTGTGCTAACTAGAGAGCAAATCCTTTGAGGAGAGACTGAGGGAGCTCTGGTTCTTTAGCCTGGAGAAAAGAAGGCTCAAGGGAGACCTTATCACTCTCTGCAACTACCTGAAGGGGAGTTGTAGCCAGGTGGGGATTGGCCTCTCCTTCCAGGCAACAAGTGACAGGATGAGAGGACATAGGCTCAAGCAACACCAGGGGAGGTTCGGGTTGGACATATAAGGAATTTCTTCATGGAAGGGTTACTAAACATTGAAATGGGCTGCCCACGGAGGTGGTAGAGTCACCATCCCTGGAGGTGTCTAAGAAATATCTGGGTGTGGCACTTAGTGCCATGGTCTAGTTGACAAGGTGGTGATCAGTCAGAGGTTGGACTTGATGATCTTGGAGGTCTTTTCCACCCGAAATGGTTCTGTGTTTCTCCTACTGTTGAAGAAAAACTTATTCTTATGTAATTAGAATACATGGGAAACGTGTGGCCAGGCTTTCCCCCATTAGATTGACAGCTACAAGGTTAACTAAATTTAAACATGAAAATATAAATTCTATATGCAGCTGACACACAAGAAGTTGAAGCTTCATGTGCAACAGTATTGCAGGGTGATGGTGTGCAGCCTGAGTGGAGGCCACTCAGATTTTATGCAAGCGAGCCTTTTGCTTGCCTCAAAGAAATTACATGAATGAATACCAAGATCAGACAGTCATTTTCCAAAAAGGTGCTGCAGAATGTTTCCCAGTGAAGATTTTTACAGTCGAGTCAAGGACTGTAAAGTCTTTAACTGTATGTACTCAAAAGGCTACTGTCATTTATCTATATACAATGAATTATTGCATATAGATAAATGACATCTCTCTTAGAGAAGGGACAGGCTGAAGGAGCTGGGCCTGTTCAGCTTCAAGAAGAGGGGACTGAGAGGGGACCTCATCAATGTCTATTTGTATCTGAAGGGAAGGTGTAGAGGATGGACCAGGCTCTGCTTGGTGGTGCCAAGCAGTAGGACGAGAGGCAATGGGCACAAACTGACACACAGGAAGTTCCACCTAAACATGAGGAAGAACTTTTTTTACTGTGTGGGTGACCAAGCACTGGAACTGATTGCCCAGAGAGGTTGTGGAGTCTCCTCACTGGAGATATTCAAGAACCATCTGGACGCAATTCTGTGCAATGTGATCTGGGATGACCCTGCGTGAGCAGGGAGGTGGGACCAGATGACCCACTGCGGCCCCTTCCAACCTTAACCATTCTGTGATTCTGTTTCATATCACAGAATAATAATAACTTGAGGCTCAGAATTTATTATAAAGCAGGAGGATTTCTTCTGAGAGGGTAGTGTCTCTTTGGGACAAGGAGATGAAGAACAGCTCCACAGCACCTGTAGTAAGAATAATGGAAAAGGACAAGCTTGTCCTCCCATTCATTCTTACTGGGATATGTGCACAGTTTGCCTTCTTTGACAAACGAGTACATAGGCTAAAGTTTTGGAGCTGCACGCTTAAAACTTGTATTTTACTTTTGCACTGAAGAGTAGAAGTAGCTAAAATAGCTGGTAATGCATGTTGCTGAGCTTCTAATAGTAACAGATTTCAAAAATTATTCTTACTTTTTGGAGCTGGTAGAATGCTTGAGAGATTTATTTCTAGCAGAATTTGCATTCCATATAATTTGGATTTAATAACGTGGTATAACACAGGCAAAAGAGTTTCTGAGTATGTGACTCTGCTTTTCCATGGCACAGTATGTATTTCATTTTAATTTTTGGTTGCATGCTAAGAAATCAATATGTAAAGCAAGAGTGAACTGATACTTATAAGGAAAGCATCAGAGAAGTTGAATAGTCATTTACTGGGTTAGTATTTAAAAGTGGAATATTTCTGGGTGGGAAAGGGCTTCAGAACAGGGCAATTCATGAACCATTTCTTCCCCTCCAACAGCTAATTCAGAGACAGCAGGTGTGTAAGCAGCCCCTTGGAAAGAGGACCAAGTTTAGTTTCTGACAGAACTGAATGGAGATGATCCCAAGCTGAAAGTCAAAACAGGATCTTCTTTTAAGTTCACCGAGTGACCTACAGTTTTATTCCAGCGCCTAACACAGGTAAGAGACTTCTACAGAATCTTCATCTGCAATTCCCAAGGTGTTTTAATATGTGAATCCTAACTTTTATCCATTGGTGCCGTCAGGTTTTGAAACTACTGGTACAGTGCCAGGTACTAGTACCAGGTTTTGGGTGGTTTTATTGGCCTTTAAGGTATCTCTTGGCAAAATCAAGTCAGAGAGTCATGAAGCATTTGTCAGCAATCCTACAGTAATGAGTTCATACACAGAATATGTTTGGGACCAGAATTTGAGATTAAAAGAGAACTTAGATTGCTTAAATCTTTGTATCTCATTTCCCTGTAAATCAGGAGAGATTTGTTTGGGTTAAGCAAAAGGTCTACATCAAGGTGGGAAGTGGTGTTGGCTCTTGGCCCCTTGCTGGAGCTGATTGCTGAAGAAAGCAAATTTGGTCCTGAACTGTGTTGCTGTTACAGAATATACAAAAAAACCCTGGCAAATGAAACCCTGAGAAATTCCAGCTTGGCTTTTGAAATGCTGTGTATAAACACTAGGGATCTGTCTGAGAGAGGATACCTGCCCCATCCAGGCTGGACCAGCTGCAGGCAGCTGTGTGGCAAACTGATGTTACTGTGCTGATGGGCAGAGAGCCTTCTGGGAGAGGGGGAGCAGGAATTGATCTCCATGTTGCAGGTCTCTGCCTCAAAGCTTCTTTCTTGCTCCTTTTCAGTTTCTGTAGGCTTGCTCTTGACATGAGGGGCAGACTCGGACTTTTCTTTATTCTTTATGTAGAATAACTGTGCAGTCCATATAAAATGCTCTGCTGTGTGAGTTACTTGAGAAGTTACATGCTCTGTGTCTGCTCACTGGAGGGACAGTTTATTTTAGATCATGAAAACTGATGGCTGCTTTGCTCCCTCATCATTATCATCATTTTATTGGGGGTGTGAACAGCAAGGAAATATGAGATTTTGTGCTCTGTGGCTTAGTTCTGGTCAGATAAGTCTTCAGGGTGCGAATACTCTTCTTCCCCACAAGACCCCAGTATTAAGATGTAGGCAGAGCACTGAAGGTGTACAACACATCCTGTTTTACACTCCCCCAGTGCTGTTTGTTGTATGTGACTGTGTGATGCTGAATGAAGCACAGCAGTTTGTGGCTTCTGCTGCTGCTGGAGAAGACCCCCCTCAAAATGAGGAGCTGCGTCTGCAGCTGCATGGGCAGTCAGAGCCAGGGAGCTTCCATGGGGCAGCAGCCACAAAAGCTGCTTTCTGACAGATAGTGTCCTTATTCCTTAATCATTAGCCCTAATGAAGGGGTTTTGTCAAAATGAAAAAAAAAAAAAGGAGGGAAAAGAAAAAAGAAACTGAGAAAGAAAAGAAACAGACAAGAAGGAGAAAAGATGGGGAATAGTTAGGATTATCTCTGTGCCGTCTCTCAGGTCCAGTGACAAGACGACTACAATGGGCAGCTTTCAGGACTGCATATGGTCTTCCTTCCGAGGGAGTTGATTAAGCGACTCCGGATGAAATTGAAATCCTGTGATTTGACCTTTGTCTGGCCTGGGAGGACTGCAATTCGCATAACAATTTCCTTTTGTTCTTTGTTTGGAGTTATTAATCCAACATGAGCCTCGAATTAATCAGGGGTAGTGCGTTGTTACATTTCTAATTCACAGCTCCACTGCTTGTGTCTTTTTTAATTAAGGCCGAATGATAGCAGGCCTTAGCCCCTGATTGCAACACTTACTAACCACACATTGAGGGATGAAGAGGCTAAATAGGCAGAATGAGATTACTTCAAGGTTTCACTTAATTGTTTTCTTCCTTTAAGTAAGGAGCACTGAGTGAAGGTTTTTAATGCCAGGCCGGGAGGGTTTTTTTATATGTGTGTTACGTGTGTGTGTGTATGTGTGTGCAGGGGCAGGGGAGGTTATGACTGGTGCACCAAGGACTCAGAGCTCTAATGGCTCAAGGGTTTGTAAAATTGAAGCCTTTGGTTATTGATTTAAACCATTCCTCCCACCTCCCCTGGGGGCCAGGGGCAAGGGAAGGAGGAATAGAGTTGAAGAACATTAAACTTAAGTTAGCTGCATGGATTTTCTTGTGTCCTGCGTGAACCCACTTGTTTATGTAGTTTTTTCTTGCCATTTGCTACTGGTTCAGAGGTAGAAAATGCAGGAAGATTGAAGGCTATAAGAGATGCTAAAGAAATGTGTCGAGACACACAAAGGTCTCCAAAGCCTGGGAGTGGTGTAATAATGATAATAAAATAAAGGCGAGCCAGTTGTGTCACACGCCAGGTCTTGCTCATACTGGAGGATGTTTGAGTCATGTTTCAAATGCTGCTTGTAAATTTGTACTTCCAGAGCAGTTCGAGGCCACAAGGGCTCAGGTGCTGTTCCAGGGGAACAGTGTAGATGATCTTGGTTAGATTCATGCTGTATAACTCAGTCTGTGCCAGCCACTCGGGATGCTGGAAAAGAAAATGCACTGAGTGCCCATTTATTTACACAAATAGTTCTGCTAGCTTAAAAAAAAATAAGAAAGGGATGACAGGATTCATTTTGCAGGATCAGGCCCAGTGTTTTGGCCTCCTATGGTGTGGTACATTGGATATGATTGCTTTGGAGAAAGGTTAATATTTATAGTCCCAAACCTTCACATGCTGAATATACAGAAATCCCACTGAATTCAATTTGTGCTGTGCGCCTGCAATATCAGATAGAGCTCTGTAATTGTGGGAAACTAAGTCTTACTTGCTTATTTCATCCATCCAAGAAGCTGGATGGATGGGGGAAGCACTTGCTTGGAAGAGTTAATGTTTCTGTGTAAAATGGCAAGCTGGTGTTAATTATACCAGGCTGTAGATATAGAGCTGCTGTTCTGACTCTGGCACGGGATACACAGGGCAGCAACACTGTTCCTGCTTTTCTAAATGCTTGGTGTGCAGTGGCTGTTCCACACAGGGTTATCTAAGAATACAAAGATAAAACCTCTAGATAGATTAAGGTGTAAGCTCCAAAGGAGAAAAATGTACCAGGTAAAAGCTTATTTCTGTGTTTAGAAATCTAAATTGTAAACTGGGTCTGCTTTTTTAGATGAGCCTGAAAAGGACAGTCTATATTCAACCTTCCATAGAAATGTATATAGTACGTGGAAACAAAAAACAAGCTAATCACAAATCTTTAGGCCTTGCTTTCAGTTGGTGCAAAGAAGCACCAGTGACTTCTATGATCAGTAATGTCAACACAGGATTTACCCTGAATTGGGTTCACAGGTTCAAAGGCATTTTCTTCACTCTCCTGCTCTTTTCTTAGGTGCTGCCTGATCCTGTGTGTCAGGATACTTCTGGTAGATTGCCAGCTCCCGTGCTGGGAGAAGTCAATGGGATAAGAAGATGCTCAGCATTGGTTGGAGTAGGGCTGCCTGACAACCCGTTCAAGTACCTTACGCATTATTTTGTTTTTCAGAACCAGTTTTGATGCTCTTACATTAAATAACACCTTATTCTGCAATTGAATCAGACTTTGCATGGAGAGAATAATATTGAGTAAGCACATGAGAACTTGACAATCAAATCACTTACTGTTGTTTATTTCCATTTAAAGACTGAAGGCTTACCATTTGTCACCTTGTTCTCTTTTTTCCTAGAAATCTTTATAGATGTTTGTTTCTAGCAGACACAATTCCAGAATGAAAATTGACTTTTAGTGCCATTCTGTGTTTTAAATCTGCATGCTTCTTTTTTTTTATTATTGTTTTAATGTTCACTGCTGTTGATTTAAAGGTGTCACATTACACTTCCAACGGGTCTCAGGATGAATAGGTACCCCCATGTGTTCCTTGTGTGAGTGTTTTGAATAACATCTTAAAACCCAAAGCCCAGTCTGTTCTTTCTCATGGCAGTGGCCATTAGAATGGGCATATTTGGAGTACTTCTAAAATCTTCTTCTTCTCCTTATCCTTGTTACAGCATAATGTTCATCATTGATGTATTCAGTAGCTCTCCTGAGCAAAGTCATAATACCATTTAAGTGCTTTGAGATCCTTAAAGATGAAAGAAGTTCTATAAACAGATGGCAGTTGTATCACAGTGCTTCTTGGGATGCTTAACCCTTGACGTGAACTGTCTTGCAGGACCTTGCTGTACAGCTGGGGCCAGGTACGCTGTCAGTAGTTTTCAGCAGTTGGCCTGCTCTGTATAATATGACATTTCCGATTCTTTTCAGTTACTCTGTAAAGGAAATTAGGCTTCTTGCCATACTCAGGAACCAAAAGATGAGGCCAGGGTGTGTGATAATGCTTTCCCATCCTTGCCCAAAGTGGCTATAGTTGCACTTATTTGAGGGACAATCCATTGATCTGTAGTTCTTGAATATTTGCAGCCGCACCAGTCAGCACTGATGAGTCCACACATAAAAAAGGAAGGACTTATGCTGCTCCTGTTCTTCCTGACAATTTTAGACAATCTGTTGCTATTTATTAAGTATTTCTGTGAGGATCAAAACTGCCCTGAACTGTCCCCTCTCCTCTGGCTCTAGCAGGGATGTACTCCTCACGTCTGCAATGACAAGTCACCCTTGTGCAGCAAAACGCCAAATTTCAGCAGCAGTGCACCAGCCTCTCCTCCACCGCGCGTGGAGGTGCTGACACTCCTTCCCCTTGAAACCAGTGGCAGGTTGGCCCTGGCCCGTTCCATTTCTGTGCTCTCCCCTTTCGGACATAAGGTAGAGATTACGATTTAATGGTCCTTTGAGTTGCTTGGCGCTCCTCCCTCTGCGCTGTCTCCCCGTGATCCCCCTTCCCGCGCCCTCCCTCTCCCCCCCCCCCCTCAATGGGAGCCTTTGATGTTGCACAAGAGAAGACTGTTGGCTAACAGTCTGGAGGCTGCTTCGTTTGAGCTCACCACCACATGAAAACAAATGCGATCCATCATATTTCATTAACTAGCTGCCCCCTGTTCGGGTGCCCTTTTTTGATGTCAGAGCGCATCCTGACAGAAATCAGAAAGATATGTGTGATTAAGACCAGTACTAA